CGCGCGGCCGTTGCCTGCCTAAACCCTTCCCTTATGACTGAAGATCTGGTTTGCTCGATTGCTTTTTCCGATAAATTCCATGATTTAGTTTTTCCGATCGCATTGGCCATAAAAATTTTTAACAGCGGTACTTCCTTATTGTATTATACATAATTTAGAATATAAGAAAAAAAATTTAATAATTTAAATTTTGCCAAGCAATAAACCAATTTTTTACTGATTGTTGAATTTTGGGCCTCTTTTGGCTTTTTTTGTGCTTGGATTTGGTCATTTTTATAGGCTATCTGGCAACCCTGCTGAGAATTCACTCGAAAATCCACATGAAGATGAGTTAATAATTGCGTCTGTTACTGTGCTTCAAACTAGTAAACCGGTGCCATCGCAGCGCATGTTTATGGAGGGGCAGCTAACATGAAACACCGAGGCTTACGGCACGCGACGAACACGCGCATGTGACAAGGAGATGGACGTGCGATGCCCACCCGTTGGCCTGCCTTGTTTGGTATGCACTAAAGAGCTTGAGGCCAGGGCATCGCAAGCAGATACTTTATGTATATGTTTTAACTTGATACGTTAAAACTTGAACAGAAGAATAAAAAAGTTACTCAATAGTGAACTGGTCCTAATAATGCAAAGCTTTAATTCAACAGGGACAATTAAGTATTAAAACAAGGAAGCCTCAATCAAAGAGTGCAGTCCCATTATGGCGTCCAACAGCTGTCAACACAGCAGAGCCGCTGGCTCCCACACACAATCTACGAATGCGGCAGGATGGCGGTTGGTTCGCGCCTGTGGTGACTGATGCCACTTCTCGATTGCCGGGTCCAAGTCATGGGCCGGAAGTCACGGGAGGTTCATCACAAATGCGGAGAAGTAGGTTACCGGCACTGCAAATAAGAAATGAAGGTCAGTGCGACACAGTGGCGAAATACCGATACTGTCAATACCGATAACTTAAATAACATCGCCGCCCATTGTCTCTGACCCATTGTCTCTACTAATAGATACTGCATGATAACATCACGTAATCCCTTAACAACTTATTATTACCATCATAAAACTCAATTCCATCTATATATATAACACCACTGAAGCCTTCCTAACCCCTCAGCATCTCCCACCATAGCCTTCTCATCCCCACACATCCTCACTCTGTGACTTCGCTGCGCGTGGCGCCTTCATCGGCGGTGCGGATGCCCTCCTCGTGCAGCAGCGCCAGCAGCCGTCGCTCCTCTCCCGCGCCCAGTGCCGACCTTTGAATAAGAATGACCCTGTACCTGTGAGAAGTTATAATTTCGTTTAAATAAAAGAATTAACGCAACTGCATTCAATGCTGGAAAGTAAGCACAAGTCACACTTTAGCGGGGAGCGCATCAATATATTAATACTTATCTGCCCACAGGCATACACAATGCGGTGGCTGACGCGCAAAACTCCTTTATTGGGAAAAAATTCGCAATATTCGCAATCCTGATTAGTACATGAATGCTCTTCTATAAAATTGAAATAAAATGTCTAATTAATTTTTAAAGACAACACTTCTAAAAATTCCCGTGTCTCTAATGTACAACATGTACAATGAATTTCTAATTTTAATTTCGAATATTAAAAAGTTAATTTTTTAATTATTTTAATACATAAAAGATATTAAATTTTCAAAATTATTTATTCTGTCAATTGATTCTTGAATTGTCTCCGACTTTACGCAAGTCTACAAAATTTCAAATAGATTGGACAGCTAAAAATGTGTTAAATATTGATTATAAGATTTGTAGCAGACAAAATTATTTTTTCAGTTTTTTTTAATATTGAAAAAAAATTATTTCAAAATTATTTATTTTGTCATTCGATTCATGCATGGTCTCTAACTTTACGCAAGTGTGCAAAATTTCAGATCGATAGGATAAGTAGAAGTGTGTTAAATTTCGATTATAAGATTTGTAGCAGACAGACAGACAGACAAACAAGAAGTGAAGTTAAAGAGAAGTGTTGTAAAATGGATGTTGGATGGACCGATAACATCAGACCCATATCATAGTCTGGCAAGCGACTGACCTCTTGCTGGTTGGAGCATAAGCCTGCACCGTCCGGCCCACCGCCTCGCAGCTCACCGCCGTCGATCCCATCACAAACAGCTGGGGAGGAGACGCGTCTGGTAGTGGCACTGCTAACACGGCAGTGTCAGTCACTAGCGTATAAACAACTGTTGGGAGAAAGTAAATAAAATTTATTGGTCAATCAAATAAAGCTGTCTGTAGGCAGCGTTTCCAATCGTCATTGAGCCTTCAGCTGACTATATGCACGTCCTCATGCACTGCTTAGCAAGCCTACACCTCCTCCTGAATGAGATGGCAATTATTCTCATCCTCATAGAGTCATCAGTAAGTCTCCCCGTCATCCTGCACGCCTCAGCAATTCTGCACGACCTCTGAACCACTAACCGACGTCCTCATGGACCTAACACTATTTGCTTTTAATATAAAGATTGCGACACAGCCATCACAGCAACAGGTTCTATGCGCTCGCAGGAGCACGGATGTTGCTAGAGCAGCACGAGTGTTGCTAGAGCAGCACGAGTGTTGCTAGAGCAGCAAGGGTGTTGCTAGAACATCACAGGTGTTGCTAGAGCAGTACAGGTGTTGCTAGAGCAGCACGGGTGTTGCTAGAGCAGCACGGGTGTTGCTAGAGCAGCAGGAGTGTCGCTAGAGCAGCACGCTTGTCGCTAGAGCAGCACGGGTCTCGCTAGAGCAGCACGCTTGTCGCTAGAGCAGCACGGGTGTCGCTAGAGCAGCACGGGTGTCGCTAGAGCAGCAGGAGTGTCGCTAGAGCAGCACGCTTGTCGCTAGAGCAGCACGGGTGTTGCTAGAGCAGCAGGAGTGTCGCTAGAGCAGCACGCGAGTGTCGCTAGAGCAGCACGCTTGTCGCTAGAGCAGCACGGGTGTTGCTAGAGCAGCAGGAGTGTCGCTAGAGCAGCACGCTTGTCGCTAGAGCAGCACGGGTGTTGCTAGAGCAGCAGGAGTGTCGCTAGAGCAGCACGCTTGTCGCTGGAGCAGCACGAGTCTCGCTAGAGCAGCACGCTTGTCGCTAGAGCAGCACGGGTCTCGCTAGATCAGCACGCTTGTCGCTGGAGCAGCACGCGTCATCATCAATCACACTGCAGGAGCCGATCGGGCTATCACGGACGCCAACGCCAAAATATTATAAATAGATTAAAATTATTTAAAATTTCATTATAACGGAAATAATTTGGTAATTGTATATGAAAAAAAATGTAGGAAAATATTGACTTAAATGATTACAAAATAATAATAGTTTTTTATTACGTGAAATTCCAAATCCAACGTGCCACCCGCAAGTATCAATGATACTCCTAACAACGACACTGACATTCCCGCTGGTAATACTGACTGAGGTGATCATATTTGCCCCGCAGGCCGCTGAGGTCCAGCGGAGCCTCGAGGCGGATGTGCAGCCTCGCTGAGGCCGCGACGGCCGCCAGAGCCGCGACGCCTGCAGCCGTCCTGATGCCGCCATCGAAACGCCTAACTCTGCACCTGCAGGAAGATCATAATATTCCTGAAGTGGGACCGAAGAAAACCTTAACTCTGCACCTGCAGGAAGTTCACAATATTCCTGAAGTGGGACCGAAGAACACCTTAACTCTGCACCTGCATGAAGTGCATAATATTCCTGAAGTTGGAACGAAGAAAACCTTAACTCTGCACCTGCAGGAAGGTCATAATATTCCTGAAGTTGGAACGAAGAAAACCTTAACTCTGCTCCTGCAGGAAGGTCATAATATTCCTGAAGTTGGACCGAAGAAAACCTTAACTCTGCACCTGCAGGAAGTTCATAATATTCCTGAAGTTGGACCGAAGAAAACCTTAACTCTGCACCTGCAGGAAGTTCATAATATTCCTGAAGTTGGACCGAAGAAAACCTTAACTCTGCACCTGCAGGAAGTTCATAATATTCCTGAAGTTGGACCGAAGAAAACCTTAACTCTGCACCTGCAGGAAGTTCATAATATTCCTGAAGTTGGACCGAAGAAAACCTTAACTCTGCACCTGCAGGAAGTTCATAATATTCCTGAAGTTGGACCGAAGAAAACCTTAACTCTGCACCTGCAGGAAGTTCNAACACCACATGCATGACCATTGATAACATTAAACTCATCCAACACCACATGCATGACCATTGATAACATTAAACTCAATACATTTATCATGCAAGGCGGGAAGCGGAAGAGTTGACGCCTCACCTGCTGCCGACCAGCGGCTGAAGGAGGTCGTCGCAGGGCAGGAACACTGAGCCATGGGCTGGAAGATCTAGCCGCAAGTCCCCGCGGTGGTGCCGGGTAATCTGCTGCCACGCGGGTGTCCTCAGAACTTCCGGTGACGCCTGCACATCCACCAAGACGCCACCAGCATGAGGCAGCATCAGGGCAACCGCCTCCAGGTCACGGCCTGCAAGATACGCGCTTGTAAGATGTTGCGGTGTACTTTATTTAACTCGTTGACTACGAAGTGGTACATATGCGTACCACGAATGTATTTCTCCAGGACGTAGTGGTACATAATTCAGGTTGCCTTAAATGAGGCCAAATGCGAGAACAAAAAAGGCCAAAAAATGCCGAAAACTCTATGTATACTAATTTATTTGTAGGTTCCGCTATTAAAATTCCATTTATTTTCTTTTTGCAGTATTTAAAATTTAGTTAAGAAGTACCCCTATCATAAATTTTAGCTGGCCAACGCACTTGAGAAAAACTAAATCACGGAATTTGTCCAGAAAAAATGACCGTCTGGCAACCCTGTTTAAAAACAGTACAAAAAATGAAATAATAGTACAGGATGAAGCAATCGTAGTCAACGTGTTAATGCCTGCTACCTGACCAAATAGTTTTTTATTAAATAACAGTCAGCTGACTCACATCTAAAATTCCTCTGACTAAGGTCTGACTTTTCGTATGATGAATTACGTTCATTTAACAGGTTCGTTTAATTGCACAAACAAGCGCGCATCTCACCGCACGTTATTGTGAACTGCCCGTCCTCCGCCCTGGTCGTCTGCGCGGCTGTGATGGCGAGCCTCGCCTCGTGGGGGCGGCACAGCAGCGCCTCCCGCCAGTCCTGCGCTGAGGCGCCCGCTTCCTGCATGATGCGCTGCACTTCAGTCCACTGCGCCTCGAAGTCCTCAGCGTTGATGGACTGCAGTTGCGTGAGGACTTGGCCTACGGCCTTCACACTCCTGTGAGAGGAGGAGACTTGATGCAGTCCGCTCAACTCTGATGAGCTTGGCAAGACTTGCATTGCCTATCCAAGATTTGCCTAGGTATCCAAAAAATGTTTATGTTTTACAATATAAATCATAAACATTTTTGGATACCTGTTTCAAGTTGTGTAATATATTGTTATTTATGACATTTATTTATACATTATTTATCTATTTCTCCAATTACATATATTCATCGTTATGGGGCGCTGGTAGCCACTGCAGGACACGCTACGGGGATATCTAAAAGCTGTGCGATGGCAGCCGCCATTTTGTCAGGACCGGATGACCTACACAATCTTCAAGGTCATTCACCAACGTTAATGTCATCCCTATTACTCACAAGACGACCAGGGGTTGACCCACGTAGATCACCCAGAGAACCCTAAGCACCCCAGGTCACTCCCCAAGTGCAGAGTAAATCACCCAAGTCACTCACCCAGCCAAGCCAGCCCCACTCACCCGTCGGGGTCACGGAGGACGTCCGTCACGTGAAGCTCAACCAAGCCGCGGCTGCCGGGAATTAACGGGCCAAGTTTGTATTAATTCAAGGCTGGTTTAGTGGCACTTATTATTCGTCAACAACTGATTCATGATTGTTAATTAGGTGAGTAAATTAGTGATGATATTAACTGAATAAATGATATCAGACGGACATAATTGAACACGAGCTGATGTTTTGAACATAAATAATCAGCAATAGACTGAAAAGCTAATAATTCGTTAATTTCGGTATTAATACTTGAAATATTTTATGTATTACTGATACATGAAATGTAGATACGTGTGTAAAGGCACAGTAGATACGTGTGTCCGTATCTATTGAGACTCACGGCACGTGTGTCTGTATCTACTGAGACTCACGGATCTCTTGTGTATCGCGTGTTGCCGGCAGCGCCACTCCGGACGCCTTCTCGCTGCAGTTCCTCCAGCAGTTGCCGCAGCTCATCCTCTCCCATCTCGGAGCGGAACAGCCATATGCTCTCCAGTCTGCACACGGACCAACAGATGAGCATCCACTGATCCCGGCTAACATGTACCTGGATATACGGACCTGCCGTGCTTCCCGTGTCTCTAGCGTGTAACAAACGTGTGGAACACAATCAAATTTTTCATATATAAGCAGTTAGGCATCATTGAAAAATCTATTGGCTAGTAACACAGCTGAAATAGACAGAATAGAAACTGAGGAAGGAAAAATCAAATAGAAGACAAGGCAACGGTAAATCTGCGCGGGCTTATGAATCTACTTTTTTACGATCCCAATCAAGAGTAACAAACAGCGGGTTGTGGAGAAGCTTTTATTTGGAAATAAACATGATTTAAAATTCACTTGGCGTATTGATAACACTAGTGTTAAAAACATGGGTAGCGGAATTTAAAATTTAAACGTTGCTGTTGGACACGGGACGATATGATTCATTCGATGGAACGTTTCTAATCAAGATTTGGAAAATTATTCTGATTTATTATTTCTTATCATATTCTAATTAATTTGCTATTGGGTGAATTATTTACTTAATGCTATTATGTGAATTAAAAAATGTTTGTCGTTTATTATTTCTTATCAATTTCTAATTAAATTGCGATTTAGTGATCACAAAACTGAATGCTTCCTCCTCTATCACAGGAAGTAAATAACCTTTTGGTGTGTGGGGCGACTTTGTTGATGGCCCGGGCGGTGGCCTCGCAGCTGCCGGGCCCGGCGCCCCACACCACCAGGTGCGGCGGTGGCAGGGCTGGCAGACGCACGTCAGCTCGGGGGCTGGGCGGGCTCTCGACTCCAGCGTCGTGCCCCTCCTGGCACCAGGCGGCATCCAGCGGCCAAATGTTCACGACTGCGAGTCAAACAACGACCAATATTACGCGTGGGAACTGCTGTGCCATCACTGCCAATTCACCAGCCATCACTGTATGGCTGCCAGCCATAACTGCAAGGCAACTAGCCATAACTGTATGACTGGCAGCCATAACTGCATGGCTAACAGCCATAACTGCAAGACAACCAGCCATAACTGCATGGCTGCCTGACATAACTGCATGGCTGCCAGACATAACTGTATGGCTTCCAGCCTAAGCCGCGTGGAACCTAGCCATAAATGCATGGCCAATGGCCATAACTGCGTGGGTTGCCAGCCATAACTGCATGGCAACCAGCCATAACTTCATGGCAACCAGCCATAACGGCATGACTAACAGCCATAACTGCAAGACAACCAGCCATGACTGCAAGACAACCAGCCATAACTTCATGGCTGACAGTTATAACTGCAACACAATCAGCCATAACTGCATGGCTGCCAGCCATAACTGCAGGGCTGCCAGCATAACTGCATGGCTGCCAGCCATGCCTGCATGACTGCCAGCCATAACTGTATGGTAACCAGCCATAACTGCATTGCTACCAGCCATAACTGCAGTGCTACCAGCAATAACTGCATGGCATGTCAGCCATAACTGTCATGCAGCCTTCAATGCATGGCTGAGAGCCTACACTACATGGCTGCCAGCACTCAATGTATTGCTGTCATTCGTTAATCAGCCCAGCTGCTTGGCCTGCCAACTGTTACTAACTCATATCCAGCATGGTTGCAAAGAATGGCTTCAAAAACACACCCAGCCTAATTATCAATAATCATACCGAATGTTTATAAGTCATGGGAGCCCCGTTTGGTTTACATGGCCTGTTGGTCGCACATGTTCTATCCATGATCGAGGAGCAGATGTGGCCCGTGGGGCACACGGGCTCTACCCGTGAGGAACACGTGAGGCGGTCACGTGGCCAGTGAGGCGTTGACAAATTTTCATTTGTGCCTTTGTTTACCGTGCAGCACGCCTCTCCGGTGGCATCAAGTGCATTTGAGCCTTAAACTAGGAGACGGCTTATAACGCAAATTACGACTAACAAAATGCATGCAAATGTAACAAGCAAATTATCTAAACATGCGGGGACTAATGAAAACTAACTCAAAATTGTTAGAGTTATCCTTATAACGAGTTCGTTAGGCTAAATTTGTCCTGCTGCAACAGTTCTGGCAAGGCCGCATATCCCAAACCATCCGCCCTCACCTAGGCTCTTATATTTGCCGTGCAGGGCGTGCAGGCTGAGGGGGGCGGGGAGTGCGATGTGCAGCGCAGTTGTGGCCGTAGACACGGCCGCTACAGCGTCCACCCCAGCTGCGCTGCTGATGCCGCACTGCAGCTCAGTGAGCTGACACCTGAGACAGAATTGTTGGTGGTGTCTTGATGTCAGCGCCAGAGAAGCTGAATAAGCACTTATAGTTATTGCAAGTTAATTAGAAAGCCGGGCTGTGGGGTTGGAATGTTACATTAAAGAATTGACTCATTCAACTCATAACAATAAATAATTATCATAGGGTAAAATATGGCAAAGAATCTTCCTATCGTGATGCTTCCCGGCTTGGTGATTCCTAGCGTCGTGCTTCCCAGCGTCGTGCTTCCCAGCGTTGTGCTTCCTAGCGTGGTGCTTCCTAGCGTGGAGTTTCCCAGCGTGGTGTTTCCCAGCGTGGTGCTTCCTAGCGTGGTGCTTCTTAGCGTGATGCTTCTTAGCGTGGTGCTTCTTAGCGTGGTGCTTCTTAGCGTGGTGTGTCCTAGCTTGGTGCTTCGTAACGTCGTGCCAGGGTGAAGTGAAATGAACGCTCCAAGCGCTCTGAACGAAATGGACGCTCCAAACACTTCGAATGCTCTGAAATGCTCCGAGCCGTCTGAATGCCGCGAGCACCTGAACCACACTATTCTGCATGTTCATGATTAGCTTCTGCACGCTATATCCTGCCATGTATTCTGCTCTACATGTTCATGCTTAGCACCATTGTTGCTGTGCGCCATCATTGCAGTGCCCTATTGTTGCTGTGCGCCATCATTGCAGTGCGCCATTGTTGCTGTGCGCCATCATTGCAGTGCCCCATTGTTGCTGTGCGCCATCATTGCAGTGCCCATTGTTGCTGTGCGCCATCATTGCAGTGCCCCATTGTTGCTGTGCGCCATCATTGCAGTGCCCCATTGTTGCTGTGCACCATCATTGCAGTGCCCCATTGTTGCTGTGCACCATCATTGCAGTGCCCCATTGTTGCTGTGCACCATCATTGCAGTGCCCCATTGTTGCTGTGCGCCATCATTGCAGTGCCCTATTGTTGCTGTGCACCTTCATTCCTGTACATTTTTATTGCTCATTGCTGTGTATCACCTACCCCATGCTCATTGTTGTAATTGTCCTGATTTAGCTTTATTTACTAGAACTTTTGCAAGGATTTGCCTTTAAGTGTTCAATTAGCGTATCTTGTCCAATAAATAATTGTTTGTTATGCTTCCATTTCTTACTTGTTGTAAATCGGTGGCATTATTGGGTTAAGTTTCGAATCTAACTGGAGTCGTCCTCGCTTGAACCTCTCAGCCTCAAAAATGTTCAAATCTAGGCTTACGAGTAAAACCGACTTTAGTCAACACGTTGACTCCGAAGTGGTACATATGCGTACCACGAATTGTATTTCTCCAGGACGTAGTGGTACATAATTCAGGGTTGCCAAATGACCTAAAAACGGCCAAATCCGCAAACAAATATGGCCAAGAATGATATTGAACTAAATATATTCTAGAATATTTTTAAGTAAGTTTCGAAGTAAAAATTTCATTTTTGCGTTTTTTTTCATTTAATTAGGAAGTACCTCCATCATAAATTTTAGCGGGCCAACGCAATTGAAAAAATCTAAATCGCGGAATTTGTTCCAAAAAAGACCGTCTGGCAGCCCTATTTCAAAATAGTAAAAAATTAAATAATAGTACAAGATGAAGCAATCGGAGTCAACGAGTTAACTATGACCACTATAAGGAGGCAAATTTCGCTGACCTGGAGCCCTTGAGGCACTCCAGCAGGTCGTCGCAGGGCTCGGGGCTTGCCATCACTCCTGCTGGTCTGATGTCCAGCTTCAGTTGTCCCTTGTAACGCCGCGCCAGGTCAGACCAGCTGGTGCCTGCAGTGCGCAGCACCGCAGCTGGCATCACGATGTTGATGACTCGAGGCTGCCGATGTGGCAGCATTAGTGCAACTGCCATCACGTCTCCAGCTGCGGACGAAGGATGAGGATACTTGTTGCCTGATGTGGCGTGAGCTTGGGTAGAGCGATAGAAGGATGATAGGTGAAGAGGTATGTTGAGTAACGTAGAGAGGTAGAGACAAAGATGATGAACAAAGAGCGAGTTGAATGGAGTCGATAAGTAAATAACGAAGTAAAAGATGGGAGTAGGTAAGTATAAAAGTATCGTTACGGTATGTGTAGGAAGCCCGCCATCCCCGTATAGAAAAATGGATGACAAATCAAGATTAATATAAAGAGAGGGACGAAGAGGACTGTGATAAGTACGGAAAGGGAAGCTATGTAAAGAGAAAGAGAGATTTGAAAGGAGAAAAGAGCGATTATATAGGGAGAGAAGAATGATATGAAGAGAGGAAAGATAAGTGGGGTGATGGGTTATTAGCTGAGGGATGATAAGTAGAAAGAGGGAAGATAGTATGAAAGTGGGATGATAGGCAGAGAGAGATGATGAGTATAGAGAGAGAAATGATATGTAGACAGTGGTAAGATTGTCAGAGAGTGTGGGATTCTACGTAGAGAGAGGGATGATAGGTAGATAGAGAGTGATGATTAGTAGTGTCGAATGATAGAGAGGGGGCGTGGGTGAACGCTATTCTCTTCGTGCAGCCTTGTTGACCGCGCACCAGGACGGTACCTAAAATTAATGTATTATGTTTTATGTAGTGTGTGTAAAAATATGCATTGTAATTCTGGCATTGTCTATATGTTACTAAGTTGTTTTCGTAAAGTGATTTCTAAACATTTTCAATTTGGAATTTAATTTACGTTGTTTGTTTTGTTGTTAATGGTGACTCTGTTTTGCTGTATAATATTTTTTAGTCGGTAAACAAAGAGACCTTTTTAGCAACACAGGGCGCATTAGCTCATTTTAGGTTACTGAATAACGACATGTAAAAATATCGTGCTGCATCAATGCAGCATTGCGACTCATTCAACTTTCTTCAATGCCCACCGCATTATATTGTATGAAGTATAGTTAGACGGACACTGCCAGCCAGTATACTATTAGTAAATATTACTGCCATTATTACTAAATATTAATACTACTATTACTATTACTAAATATTACTGATCGGCATTGGAAGGCATGACAAAGTATATATCTGGTAGCAGAGGTGGAGTGTTTGGTGTGAAGCAGGGGCGCTGAATGTGAATAGAGTTTAAAAGCGTGATATGAATGTAAAGGAAACTGTGAAGAACCTGATGGCACTTGGAACATTTGAGTGAGAAAGAGAATAGAGTGGATGGGATGGAGGAGACTCTGGTTGAGGGCAGGGAGAAAATGGAGCGTAAGTGTTATTTACTGGCGATGGAAAAACAAATTGATAAATACATGAACAAATAAATTTCATTGATAGTAATATTATTGAAACAACCATGATATCTGTAATTTTGGTCATCTTTTATGGACCAAATTACCAAATTCTCTCTTTTATGAAATATTTACATACGGTTCTCTGTTATAATTTCTTTACAATTAGCTCCTAGGCTGTCTTCTGAAAATACACCTCTTTCCAATTAATATACATATTCTTCCATTTCTAATTAATATGTTCGCACCTTTCTCACTATTATATTAATTAGCTGCATTTTGATTAACAAATGCGCATGTGTCTAATTAATATATTTATTCACAGCTTTCTAATTAATAAATACGCCCGTTTCTAATTAACATTTTTATTTGCCTCTTTCTAACTAATAAAAACGCCCCTTTCTAATTAATATATTTAATCGCCCCTGTCTAATTAATTAATGCGCCCCTTTCTAATTAGTATATTTATTCACCCCTTTTTAATTAATAAAAAACCCCCTTTCTAATTAATAAATACAACCCTTTCAAATTAGTATATTTATTCGCCCAGTCCTCATTAATATATACGACCCTTTCTAATTTAAATACGCCTCTTTCTAATTAGTAAATTTATGCAAGTCTTTCTAATTAATAAATATGCCCAATCGCATGCTTTCTACGTACAGGTGGTATTGTAATCGCAAATAGCAAGCATTCCAATTGAGACCAACAATTCCATTCACAAATAATGTACTGTAAAGTATTATATGGAGCACCTGATGCAACAATCCGAGATATGGGCTCTGGCACAGTTGTTACAAAACATATCTTTTCTTCATTTAAGATGCTGCTTCATCTACCACATCCAACTGTTACCATCTATAACGCTTTGGAACTTGGAAAATCTATAAAGGAGAATCTTGAACTCATTCATTCAATAAGAAATTCGAGTCTCCAAGCATATTTGATTATTTCAATATGTCTATGTTTTCAGATTGATTGAATGTAATTATGTATATTCTATAGATTAGGATAACGCTTGAAAATTAATTAAAAAAATATACCTCATTAAAAAAACTTACTAAAGAAACTTTACGTGATGACTAAAAATAACACTGATTGCATGATTTTCATAAGTCCTTGTGTTTTTTAAATGGTCTATAATTCAAAATAACATTTTATAGCCGCTTTTTCCGTAATGTGTGCAGTGTACACAATATATTGCTTATTGCACATGCTGATGATTGTAATGTAATCTATGCCATGAAAGCCAGTGTATGCGTCATAATCTATGCCACGGGTGCCAGTGTATGCAGCATAATCTATGCCATGGGTGCCAGTGTATGCGTCATAATCTATGCCATGGGTGCCAGTGTATGCGTCATAATCTATGCCATGGGTGCCAGTGTCTGCATCATAATCTATGCCATAGGTGCCAGTGTACGCATAATAATCTATGCCATGGGTGCCAGTGTATGCATCATAATCTATGCCACGGGTGCCAGTGTATGCATCATAATCTATGCCATGGGTGCCAGTGTATGCATCATAATCTATGCCATGGGTGCCAGTGTACGCATAATAATCTATGCACCCACACGTCAGTCTCTTTGATCGTGACCTCGGCCGCGTGCTTCGCCAGCGCGGTGACTTCAGGGCTCCTCAGCAGCACCGCCTGCCAGTCGCCGCCCCTGGTGACGCCGGCGGCAGTGAGGGCGTCCCTCAGTTGGGGCCAGCGCTTCTGGAACTGCCGGGGGCTGCTGCTGCTCAGGTCCTGCAGGACGTACTGCAGCACTTCCAGGAAGCTGGAATAGTGTAAATGAAAACATAAAATTTGAATCACAAAGCAAACTTGAATCGAAGTCAATAACTTCCGGACTGCAAAATATCTAACATGATATATGACAACTGTCACAAACCCTCAAAATGCTAATCCTGTTAAGAAAGCAAATTTGCTCGGTCCGGAATAGGGAATTATAATTTCACGTATTACTGAAAAATTTTATTGCCAGCTTCACATACGTAATTGCGACGTAGTCAACACTCACCGTTCGGGGAGGCACCGCTCGACAGACCCTGGTTCGGTTCCATCGCTGCCCGAGGAGTCATCCAATGGTCGCTGTTTTGTTCGAAAGACAGAGAAGAGCCGTCGCCTGATTGATGTGTACCTGCTCACCACTTATTCATTAGTATTTATATTACTAATACAATAATTAGTTTTATAGAAGTATCATATTAGTATTAGCCTTATATCATTATTATATTAGTTCACCATTATAGTCAGTATTAATTTAACCAACATGAGGCAAATCAAATAACTTTTATCGTAAAAAAAGAACGGAATACTGAAAAAATTGTAAAGCAAGTAATTACTTTACTTTTACCTCAGTTACTTATCAAAATATTTCTCTAGTAATTATCTCTGTTATGAAATTGCGACTATTGGACAATGCCATATTATTGACACATATTTCAACTTGATGCCTAACATCAGGATGCGCAGGACACCAATAAATGTTCCGTAATTGAAAGAACAAATTCTTTGACTTTGTTAGTCATTATTATGCTATAAACAATCCTTGAAAATGTAGACTTACCATGGGTTTACTACGGGCGGTAAGCCCAAAATAACCCGGAGAGGTTCGTTGGTACTCATCATGCACTTTTTAACGTAAGTTGCTGCTGCCCGTTCCTGGATGCTCTTATGTCCGAAGGAGTAGGTCGTTTTATCGCTACACGACAGCGATTTCTTGGTACTGAACATGACGGAGAGCAGCACGTCGGACTTTAGGCCCTTGTGGCCACAGTGGGATGTTATTTCTGAGTGACATGATTCTTTCACTGGCAGGAACTCGTCTTCATAGAAGCTGATCTTGTCGCTCGCAAGAAACTCCACAGCGAACTTGCCAATAATCACAAACAGCTTGTGAATAAGAACGTCAATATCGGGGACATCATAGTCGCTAAGCTTCTCTTCAAAGATGATCTTATACAGATTCAATGTGTCTCCTGACACGTCGCTTGCACTTTTCCAATTATTTATAGTTTGTGGAGAGCGCAGGTATATAGCGCAGTAGTGCAGCAGAGTCATTGGTGTGACGAAAAGCGCTCTGATGTGTGGGTCCAGCCTGGAGAATCGTTCGGACATCGCTCCAGCTGCCGCAGGGACTGTGCTTAGTCTTTGTTCATACTTTTTGATGAACTTTACCTGCTCATCTAACTGAGTGAGAGGCGAAATCACGTAAAATGAGTAATGACAATTATTTTTGGCAAGTAATTGGTTCAATTTTCCGACAGCGGTAGGACGGCTGGTGATGAGAATGCGGGAATTAGGGTCCCAGGTTTTCTTTAACAGCTCACGCAGAACTGCAATGGACTCCTCGTTGTGCTCATCGAATGCGTCGACCAGGAACAGCACACGGAGACGTGACAGCGCTTGGAGGGTTCCTTTTTCTCCAAGGTCCATGCATACTCGACCAAAAAGTCCCACAAAGACTTCATGTAATGTTTTTGAAGTCCTATCCCGGCACTCGATGTGAACAAGAATGTCAAAATCTTCCAGAAAATGTGATTTGGATTTCGGCAACTCAATGAACTGCAAGATTATGTTCTTGAGTAAGGTCGTCTTACCAGCTCCTACGTCACCTAGAACAATTACGATTTTATCACTTGCATCGAAAACACATTGGTACTTGAAAGTGTTAGTTTCCTCGTCTTGTAGTGTCATTTCAGGTGCATGAAACACATCTGACCGGTCCACGCAGCCGGCGTCGAAAGGGAGATCTTCCTCGACGAGGTCCTGGAAACGAAGCCTTGCACATTCTTTCCCCTCGACTAGTAAACGGTGAATGTGGTAAGCCAGCTTCTTCCCGGCTGAAGTCGGCCCACTTTTTATCTCGACCTGCAGATCATTTTCAATTAATTTTGTTTCACTATCAGGAAGTTTATAAAACTCTCCACTCTTTTGAATCAACTCCTTCATATTTTTTTCCATCTCATCAATTTTCTTAGGTTCCTTCATCGATTTTTCGTTGTGCATCATATCATTTCTAACGTCCTTGACAGCTTTTAACTTGTCCATGAATTCCGCCGGGTCCCTCGTAAACCTCGAATCATTTTTCTTTACTTCGAAAATCATCTGGAAGAGTTTGAACAGCGTAGTCATATCCATGCCATCAGAAGTGGTGTCTGTTTCAAATGAGCTTGCCATGGATTTGTTTCCGCTCATTTTTTTCCATTCTGTTTGACTGAAAGGTTTTCTCTGAAGTCTCTCCAAATATTTTTTATAAGTTTCTGAGGGATTTTTGTCTCCACATTCGAGAGAGAGAATTTTCCCAACGTATTTGGGGCAAAGTTCCATGATGCTGTAGTAGTTTTGGTAAAGGGTCTCCATATCCTGGAAGTCGTCTTTTTTTGTGGTAGTTGCAGTTGCCGAAGATGCCATCTTGCAAACTGTCTCTGCCCATAAAGAAAAATCGAATAAATGTAAAAAAGTTACAGCCGCTGTGAGTTTCTTGGACTTTATCAATAGAAATAGTCGTGACTGCCGCTGTGTGTCCGCGGTGTGAATCATTGCGACTTATGTTGAGCGTATCTTGCGGTCCGCTTACGGAAATCATCGATTTATATTCGTTCATTTCAGTACAATCAAAAAGAATACATTAACATCACGAAGTTCAAAATTGTTGGAAAATTGTCTTACAATTATTTATGTTGTTGGTCTAACGCTTTTATTCGCTCACTTAATCCCAAACTACGAACTTAAAATAATTTTTTAGCCTGCCACCCGAATTCTCTGTACACGTGCCCCGACCATGCAATTCTTGCGACAAAATGACCACATTTTATTAACACTCATTTCAACCTTGGTATATACGCGTGTTCCAGTTGTGCCAAATTTGTGTATTCAGAGAAATGAGCGAAACTATGTCCAAATATCGATGCAAATTTTGCCTTTTAGTGTGTCATCTTGACCCAGTTTGGCCTGTAAAAAAGAAGTACGTATCAGTTCTACGTGCGGAAAGTGTGTCGCTATTTGGACAATATGACTCATTAATTTTTCTGAGTAGACATAGGTGAATCAAGCGAACGATTATGCATAGCAAAGCAAGGGCATCAGCAGAATCTAATTCCCTGAGTATCCATGCGAATGGTATTCACGAGCCAACCCCACGCTGCCCCTGAGTATCCATGCGAATGGTATTCACGAGCCAACCCCACGCTGCCCCTGAGTATCGACACCAATCGTTATACTGAGAGAAATGAGTGGGTCAGTACGACCCTATAAGATGAGTCAAGCGTCTGTCCAAATAGGGAAGCAGTTTTTTGACTAACTTGCGCTGGTGCGGGTCATTCTGGCCTATTACTGGCTTTAATTAAAATTCCCGACTTGACCCACTTGTGTCGTCAAATTGCACCATCCAGGAAATACTGCAACTGCATTCCTCCATAAATAAATTTTCCTGACACAAGGATTCATTTAATTCTACAGAAAACAGTTGGAGGACCTGAACACAAAGCTACTGTAGATGAGCCGACACATAGACGTGCAAAAAATTACCAGGTGACGCTGTTGGGGTCATTGGGACACACCTACTGAGCCCACCGGTCGGGCGAAAGTGGGTGAATGTTAGCGTGGGCCATCCTGGCGCCGTTTCGGCACGCTTCTTTCATCATTTCGTAATCAATAATTATGGAATTAAATACACAGTTTTAGATGTTCAGTGCGCTGTGGCGAAGATATTTTTGAAATTACATACTCCCGTGTATAATTAAAACGATAAAACGAGTGGAACCTTATTTAACCTAACTTAACCCAACCTAACCAACCTAAATGAAAACGGGCGTGGACGCATACGTGTATTCTTTTCGTGTTTTCGTAACTTCCGCACGAATTAGAACATTAAACTCTGAACTGATGCTACGTTTGTGTGCGTAGAGAAAGGCCGCTCTTTTGACACTTGACAGCTGATATTCGAGCTGTAATTTGTGATAAGATAACACGGAGCTGGAACGGAACGCTTAAATTTCAATTTCCTGTGCTCTCTCTTATTATCTTTCGCTGAAAAAAATACTACAGCAAAATATTTCGATGTGGGTCAATTTTTCTGCCTGCCATGGCCACCAACTTTATAATGAGTGCAAAGCTTGACACTCATTATAAAGAACACTGAGAACCTAGGAACCGTGCGTGGTAGCGCTTACGTGAATGTTGATTAAATTTGCGAAATATATTCTTAGATTGAAATGAAGTTCAGATCTCTAACTATAGAATGCTTAAGTTTCGTCCAAATTTGAACTCAGAACTTTGCAATAGATGCATAAATGTGTTGATATCACTTGACGGCAGAGACCCCAAAAGGAATCGCGTCAAGGTAACACGGCGCGTTATGCAGGGCTTGGAGTTGGGACGCTGTGGTTCATGGCATGACCGCCGTTGGCGTTGATAAAAATACCGAAAATAAAGCGATAAGAGGTGATCATCATATTTCCATCCAATTCTTGAAAAAATCTTTCATATAATACAAGGATTATCAATGCACAACCATCTCTGAATAGTAATAATCCAGCAGAAATATAGCCTTAGTATAAGTCAAAGCTAACAAAAGACACCGATGACTTAGGCTACAGATGAGGCAGCGGCACACGCCACTGGTGAAACATTGCTGGAAGGAAAATTTTACAGAAAGATCGGACATCGGTGCGTTACAAGAGTGGCATAGAGCGGAAATGCAGTCGATGTGGAGTAAATACTGTTACGTCACTAATTCGCGTCTTACTGTAGTAGATTATAGCTCGTCCAGTTCTTCCTTTGTCGGTGTACCCTCAAATGCTCCAGCGATGGCGTCCCCGCAGATTGCAACCAGTCCGTCCTCCAACTATAAACTCGTTCTGTGCACTGCATATTCTAATAATGATCAGTTGGGGCGCAACTGAGTCCCACCAATGGTTATTATACTAACACTGCCCTGAGTTTAAATTATAATTATTGATGTAAAATGTCATTCTAACTGCTTATCATCAATGATGATCACTTGCATTATAATAAGTGAACAAACTTTAAGTACGCCAATGCTGCTTAGTCCACCAAATAGAACAGCGGCTCAAAAATTTGGTGCGTGGTCCACAGTTTTCGGGAACTACGTGTTGTATTTGTTCAAAGTTAACCATGCCTACATCACTTATAAACCCACTGGTTCCCAAAGAACTACGGCTACATAAGGCTACATGGCTACGCCCCGTCAAAGGCATTATTGAAGATGAGGTACTTACCTGGCCGTTGGTGCAGCTCAGGAGTTGTCGGTGTACAAACAGAAGCAACAGCAGACGTGTGCATTGACTGACACTACTAACCAGCTTTTATAATAACAAAACAGTTAACCACAACACGGTACCTGCAAACTTAAGCTGTGGTAGGAATCAGTTTGAAGTGGTCACAAAAAGTGCCTAAAACATTTGTGTGAGTTCAAGGCGTCAACCAACAAAACGCGACAATTGCTCACACTTATTCGCATGCGTAATGGAATTGCACTTCATCCAAGTTTTTCAGCTCACATCCACCAGAGTTTACACCACCAACGCTATACAGTATCTTATGGCGAGCAGCAGAAAAACTAGCTCGTGTTGCTAACTAGCCACCAGCGCCACACGTAATTCAAAGTCCCTCTGCTTTGCAGTTCGAAATTGTAGCGTTCTTTTCTGACAAATTCGAGCCAACAATGATGATCTACAGTGGAGTGAGTGTTAAGGGCGAGTTGGATACTTTCTTCGTTTTGTGTAGAATTTCTGTCGATAGCCCATAAATGATTTCACCACTGAACTTCAGTCCAGCGAACTTAGGCGGAATCGGGTGGCCTAACCGACAATTTTCTAATTATTTCGTTTTTTCTTGAGCTTTAAAAATTGTGGCTTACACACATTCCCTAAATGAACCGATGCAACCGATGAAAGATTTGAAGATTAATATAAAAAGGCTCGAAAAATGATTTGTTTGGAGTCATATACGTGAAATTTCAAATCTCAAAGCTGCACCAAAAGATGCGTAGTTGCAGGTGCTGACACTCGTTACCTTGCTCTGCCTGATCTTGCACTGCCATCGGTGCTCCACCTATCATTTTCGCCTATAGCCACCAATAATCGCCGATGCGCCACCAATAATTTTTATTTAGAGATAAGCGGCTTCCTGCTTATCACGCCGCGCAGCTCAGGCGCTGTAGGTAACCCAGATAGGGGCAGGGCTCGGAAATGACCTAAAAAAGCGTGAATCACTACGACTGATTGATGGCTAAAGTTTTTTATGTATTTCAAACTAGCAGTTTCGTCCGGCGTAGCCCGGGGTCGATAATCCCAAGAAGTTTAGTATAACGTCATTCCGAACCCGTTATTACAAATCACTGTAATAATAATAATAATGCGAATGCCTGCTAACGAAACAAAAAAGTCCCGTTCAAACCTATATTATTTCATAGAACCGGGAACTCCCACGAGATTCTTGTTTAAAAATATGTAAAATATATAAGTCATCTGATTTAAATTATTGGGCAAATGTTTTTCTCATCAAAAACTGAATTGTAATTCTTGGTCCAATCTTTTTCACACAGTTTTGTTATGCCTTGCTATTTTAAAAATTTGTCCATGTTAATGTAGTAACGACTAGTAAGTATATTCGTAGGTTAAGGTAGTTTGGAATTAAAGAGCAAATTCGTGATTAAAGAGCTGGAAGTTGGTGGCATAGTGTGCCATGATGACGACCTCGTCTTATTTGTGATAGCTTTTCGCCAACACCATTATAATCACGCTTGTAAGGAGCTCTTGTTGATTAGCTAATGCATATAATTTCACCTCTTAGTGCGGCCCAACATATTACCTTTTAACGCGCCTTTGGACGCGTTGAATTTTGCTTCAAAGCTTGCCGCAGGGCTATTGCCTGCTAAATGAACCAGCTTAAAATTTCGTCGGTCACGATGTTAATAATATGATAATATATATATATATATATATATATATATTTTATAATATAGCGGTTTAAGCGTTTATTAGGCCGAAGGCCTTTCGCCGATTCTCTACATCGCAGAACATCCACAGCTTGTTGCAGGCTCGAACCCGCAACTCACTGCTTCAATTTTTGCTTTGCTAAACTGCCCGGCCTCCTTGCCGATTCTCACCAGACACTGTCGCACAGAGCTGGGATCGAACCCGCACCTCTCTGCTCCAATCTTGGTACTCTGAACTTTAACCACTGGGCCTACCTGTCAATACTCGGCTTGCAATCTTGTCTTAAGATTCTCATAAGTGCGTCCACTGGCTCTCTTACTAACAACTTTCTTGAGATTGGACCGACCTTTATTAATTAACTTAACTTTAATATTTAAATCATCACTAAAAGGCCCTTATAGCCATTTCTGAATACCCCCTACTGCAATAGTTTAGAAGGGGAATATTTGTTAATTTAACAATAAAAATACGTTGAATTATATTCTGCGCATATTGGTTATAAATTCAGATGTCAGACTCTGAAGTTGATACAAATAGAATGAATAATTATCATTAACATTATAATTACGTATCCTGCACATCTCACCCTGAACTTACTTGCGGCCTACCCGGTCTACTGCGCCTGTCAACTCCTCCTGTTTTGACAGTTAGGTTTCGAGATAAGACTTGAGATTTTGCCGTATTCATTTCGTTAAAATTGGAAATGAATAATATACTTAGGAACTTATGAAATATATAAGCACCAGGCGTTCTTTATGGTTTTACCTTTCATTCTTCATTACAGCTCTTTTTTTGGGGCACTTGGAGAACTTATATACCGTGGATTCCCAAAAAATCAATTTAAACAGTTACATTTGCATTATTTCCTTATTTCTATTCTCTCATTCAGAATAAATTTTTAGGTCCCGGTAACATCTCGACACGATAAGTATCCTGGATACGCGCCCAACAGCCCTTATATATCCCGACACGATAAGTATTCCGGATAGAAGCGCTGCACGTTCATGGCATCCCTAAAAGATACCTGATCCTGTTTCTTAATACTCCTGCGCTATACTTTTAAAAAAGTTAAGATATTGTAAGTTCATCTGCCATTTAATGACGGCCTTTCAAGCAAAATCCACCAACCATAGACACGAAAATAGAGCGTAAGTACTTACGTTCACTTAGCGGGTTTTAAAAGTATGGCCCCTGTGTGACAGGCGACGTATTTATCAATATCAGGAAAACAATTAGCATGAGGAAACAATGATGAAATTAGGGACACTGCAGCAGGTGACTACAATAATGTTTATTTTAAAATATTCCACAAATAAAATATATCAAATAAAAGAGCACCTGCATTAAGGCCATTGAAGTATTTGAGGTACATACGTGTACGATGGCACAGCTCGGAATTGTTCCCAGTCGCCGTACACCTAATACGGCTTTATATAGTCAACAGGTTCACACACCAAGATACACGAGCGAACACTTCACTGCACCAACAACACAACACTCTGAAGACACTTTTCTGAATCTTGCAAGTTTGTGATCAAGTCTCGCAGCAGAGGGCGTCGCAGATAACGGCTATCAGGGCAGCAGATAACGGCACATGCCGGCATAGCCACCGCAGCCCCCGACCTCGGTACTCCACTCGCTAGTGTATCAAGTTGATTTTGGATTTATTCAATCTAGAGTACGTTGCTAATGCCGACTTAACTGGTTAAGCAAATCCTCTTCTGACGTGAAGCCAGGTGGATGAAGGTCTGATTTTTTGGGGATTATAAATATATCGCTGTATTCCTGGCAACAAATATCTGACCGTTAAATCTTTTGCGGTTAAATTCAAGTGAACTGAACTAGGTTGAAAAATAATATGCGTTTAAAAATTACTTTTTAAAGACAACACTTCCAAAGAATCCAGTGTCTCCAATCTTACAAATGTACAATGAATTTCTCATTTAATTTTCAAATTAAAAAATTAGTTTTTCAATTTTTTTTAATATATAAATTTTTAATATAAATTTTTTTTCAAAATTATTTATTCTATTAATTGATTCATGCATTGCCTCTGACTTCACACAAGTGTGCAAAATTTCAGATCAATCAGACAGATAAAAGTGTGTCAGATATAAGTTATAAGATTTGTAGCTGACAAAATTATTTTTTTTTCAATTTTTCTGATATTGAAAAAAATTTTTTTTTCTTTAAATCTTTTATTTTGACATTTGATTCAAGCATTGTCTCCAACTTTACACAAGTGTGCAAAATTTCAGATCAATCAGACAGATAAAAGTGTGTCAGATATCAGTTATAAGATTTGTAGCTGACAAAATTATTCTTTTCAATTTTTCTAATATTGAAAAAAATTTTTTTTTTAATTTTTAAAATCTTTTATTTTGACATTTGATTCATGCATTGTCTCCAACTTTACACAAGTGTGCAAAATTTCAGATCGATAGGATTAGTAGAAGTGTATTAAATTTCGATTACAAGATTTGTAGCAGACAGACAGACAGACAGACAGACAAGAAGTGAAGTTAAAGAGAAGTGTTGTAATGACATGTTTGATGTACAAACTTATTGAACATAGGGAGGATTTTTGACCTCGAAGGCACCATACATATCAATGACATTATTGTATGCCTCAACGATTACTATCTCAAATCAACTTAAAGCTTCACCAAACTCGAGAAATAAGATAATTTCAACGCAGGGCAGCGGTGGTAGTAATTAAAGGTTCGTGGGTTCAGTCATCTTATAATTAAACTGAATTGAAATCTGAATTACTGCTGAATTAAATATCTGAATTCCTTCCGAATTACACAGCTATATTACTACTGAATTACCCAGCTGTATAACTACTGAATTACCTAGATGAATTACTGCGGAATTGCTAATGAATTATTCATTTGAATTAATGTTGAATTTTCTAGCTGAAAAAATTCTGAATTAACCTGCTGAATTGTTTCTGAATTACCCAGATGAATTGCTGCTCAATTATCCAGCTGAATTGCTACTGAATGCTACTGAACTACTCTGCTGAAAAACCCAGGTAAATTACTGCTGAATAATCCAGCTGAATTATTTGTCGGCAAAGTGTCATGATCCGAGGCTCTTTTCTTCCACGCTGAGGCCAGTTTTAGGGCTCTTGCCCTTTATCGTATATAGTTCTCCCTTTATCAGAGAGAATGATCGTATGATTACAATGTCAATGTTCTGAAATATTAGAATTTGCTGAAATATTAAACTCAGCATGCAGGATTCAATAGATCCTAGCTCCTGCTAGCTATTTGAGGCATAACATAGCGCCC